CCCCCCCCCCCCCCCCCTTCCCCCCCGGCAAGTTTACCTACTGTACACATGGTAATCTTATTTGGTTTGGAATTTTTTCGTCGAATTTGCTGTTTCCCTTGAATTGGCTGGTGCTGTTGAATGAGGCCTACGAGTCGGTGGTGTTGGCAAGACCCTTCATGCACTGTCTAAGAAGCGTTTTTCCTCCGCGTTTGTTACCTCACAGTATACGTTGTTAGCTAGCTGTCTCTTATAGCAGTTTCCATTCAGTCCCTCAAATATCCTATCTTGAAAGAGGTCACACCTTTCCTGGACGGTACTACAACGACCAGCATCCCCAAGGGATTGCTGAAATCTGATTACCTCTATAGATACTCTGCTCGTAACGGTAGAATTTGTGGACGATGGATCGCGGGTTACCATCCTATCCGTATTATGAAGGGGTAAAAGGGGTTTTTGTAACGCCAGTTGATTTCTTCGATTTCATATCAGCTCAATATCTCTGTCTGCCAATTAAACCTGTCCACATATCTATCTCTTTCGCACTGTGTCACCTTTGCCCGAACATGTCACACTGGCGTTATCATGAATATTTGAAGAAGGAATGTAGAGCAGAGAAAGGCAATGACAAAAGATGGGGAGACTTAATCCCAAAGAATTGCCATATTGAAGCTTGCTTGGTGCTTTGAGGGAAAGTAACTATTGCATGTTCGAATCAGAAGTTCACTAGAAACCCCATCACCAAAGCATGGAAACCACTCAGTTAGAGATAGAAGCCCGTTTTATCCGTCAATGCTGCTTCTTCAATCCAGTTGCCACCTCGCAGTTGATTGACACCCATCATGACTTCCATAAGAAAGGCAACCGTGTTTTGATGGCATAAAAGTTCAGCTTCGGGCTTGCTCTGGTGTTTTGCGAAACCAATGCGTCTGAAGTTACGAAGAGCGGCATCGTTATGAAAAAAGGCATCAACTTCAAAGTGCATAGGACTACCCTTAACGTTGAATACCTTTACCGGAAAGTCGGGGGGGTGAATAGACAAGCGATCACAGATGCCTAAGTAGTAGAGTAGAGCATTAGCCGCCTGAATATCGTTGATATGAATAATTTAGAGGAGCCACAAGTGCTATGCATACTCTTAACGCGAAGAAAGTCACTTCCGTAGGACTTGAGTTTCAGCCTAAATTCACTGGCAGTGCATGGATCCTTCCTACACATTGAACGACTGCCCGACATACGGCACTGAAAGAAAATAGCCTGGGCAAACTCTGCTGCATCGGGAACTCCATGGTTAGCTGATGGTTTCTGAGCCATCAAGGAAGGGTTGAAAAAGGCAGGTGTCGCAAGTCTGCCCGTAGATTTCTTGTTCGTGGTGTTTTCAACAGCCTTGACCTTAACTGAATTGGCTCCAGTGGCACTCGCGGCAGTTGGGGCCTGTGGATACTGGTGTTCGCTTCCCTTTACCTTCTTAAGGGCATCCACCAAAGACGCTTCCTTTCCACGGCCCCTTCCGCCTTTTCTACGTGCCCTCTTTGTGATGACACTAGTGCCGGCAGAGGGGACAAATGGAAATTTCGTCTAGACATATTATTAGCACTCATATCCTCTGTACATCCATGGGGCAGATAAGTGTCGAATTAGCATATCGAAAATGCAGGTTCTGCCACTTACCAAGTCCACTGTAACTGGTTCTGGTTTATTTGGAAGATTGGGCGTAGCACCAACCACCTTTGGCAGGGCTCCAGACTTGGCTACCCCATGCATAAGCTCTCCATTTGCTCCACTGGTAACGAGTAAATAATGCAATGCTTTGTGGGCGCATGCAATAATGGCTTCGTCAATAGATGGATAGCATTTCTCAATGCCAAAGAAAGAAAGGCCATCAACCTCGACTTCATTACGATAGCCATTAAAGTTAGCATACTGGGTGTACAGTGGGTCTGGTATACCTCTTTGCTGGCAGTACACTGTAAATAAAATGGCGTGACTGTTAGCTATAACCCCTGATATGAATCGCTACAACTACAACTTACATGCCAATAATGAATTCCAGCGGAGTCGGTTAGGCGAAACACCAAGCTCAGGACTTTCGGGAACCACGCAGAGTGGCATCAAAGACTTCAAGGTGGCTAAGCCACCACGGCACGCATCTGCCGTGGCGGCAGCCTTAGTTGGGTAGATTTGCAACTTAGAGACCTCATGGTCTCCAAATCTGAGTCTAACCACCCATTTATTGTCAAAATATTGCAGGAACTCAAAGGATGGAGTTAGATGTTCCTGAATACAAATGACACCAAAATAGAACATTGCGTCCTTATCATCCAACTTGGCGGTGTTGACATCACCTAGAACCTGCGTTGGGCCAAGTTCTCTAGGTGTAATAGCCGCGTGGCCTGCTGGTATAGAGGTCTGGTCGAGAACAGTTGTCCCTGGCGCATTAGAAAGCATAGGTCTGGTTCCTTCTATTTGGAAAGACGTAGAACTTGCAAAGGAGGGGGCCATTCCTTGGTTATTAGGGACTAGCGGGCTTGGTGTAGGAGGAGAATTCACCGTTTGGTTAAGTAAACTTAGCCCATATCCCCAAGGGGCTGGTGGGCAAGAGAACCTGGAGACACCGGGAATACCTGAAGCTGCACTTCCTTGTCCGAATAACGCAGGGAATGTGCCATCCGAATGCGATGGTGAAGCCATGGTGCCACATAGGGCAGAAGGCTGCCCAAACGTGGGTTTGTGACACTGATTGGTAACTGCAGGAGGTAGCATTGATGATGGCGTATCCAAGGAGCATGGAACTGCAGGAATGGTGACAGGCAAGACAGGAGACTTGCTAGCTGACGGAATAGAAACCACGCCATCAAGCACGCCAGTGTTCCGGCCAACAGCCTGAGAGTCAGCGGACGACGCGTTGATGGCACTGGTATCAACCATATTCGCGTCTGAAGCCTCGATACTTGGATACACCATCATCTCTGGCAAACATGCTGCCGTGATAGTTGTCACCTCTGCATCAATAACAGGCGCGTTATCCGCATCGGCAACTCCTGGAGCCGCCTGTAGGGTCAGGGCAGCATCAGTAGGAGCGGAACGAAGGGGACGCGAAGCCTGCGTCGCTGTTGATTTCGCCCGGGACGGCGTCACGAGCTCTTCAATCAAGCTCTTAAGATCATCTGGTCCGATTGTGCTAGGTGGATGGCGGTGCATAGTGCCGTCGTCTGCAGGAGAGAAGATTTGTAAATATCCAGCGTTAGATGGAGGAGCTAGAGACTTTATACCTTCACTAACAGCGACGTCCATGCTATCAGAGTCACTGATGCTGATGTATTCACGGGGACTGTCATTCGTCTCGGATGGAGGCGACATATCTGAACCTGTGTAGGGGTTGGACGTGGCAGGTTGTTGATTGACGAGGAGGAGATGAGGTGATGAGAATGAGGGATGAAGTGCCGCGTTGTTTGCATACAAGGAAAGCAGGAAGGGAGGTTGCCAGGGCAGCGAAGAAAAGTACACCAAAACGACGGACTACCTAGGAGAGTAAAAGTTCCTTGCTAGGGATACTTCGTTGAGTATTTGATTGACTGCTTGCTCCAGATGCTTTCAATATCTTCTTTTGATATGCTCAATATCTGCGTTGTAGCTTGCTGTAGTTACAAGAGCGATATTGGCCTGGGTATATCATCTCCCCCGTTCAACATAAGCCTCATGTCACTCCCAAATTATGGGATAGTGAATACGGTCAGGTAAATCATGGAAGATAAAAGCTCCATAATAGCAAGAATCATGGAGTTCTTCGGTCTTCACTCTGTATATCAAGTGACCGTTGGACATCGTGGGCATTAGGATATCAAAACCATAGGCCAACGTAGAGAATGATCTAATTTATTCCTCCAGTACTCAAGATTAACCTTGTATTGGACAATACAAGGACGACTAGGCTTAGATAGAATGGCTTCACCCTTGAAAAACCGTCCATTCAATGTGCTTCTTCACTTCGATTGACGTTGAAACAAGCGAAAGACGGAGTCGTTAATTGTGCTTACATAAGCTAAATACTTGCATTGGTTGGACTGTTGATAAAGATGCGAGTACAAAAATGTTCCTTTAGCAAGTGATTAAGCCATAGTGCGCTGTCTGATACCCATGAGCCCTTCGTTCACCCTGTCTGGCCAGGCATGCATGTTGCTATTCCAGTTCAACCTCAGAGAGGAGGGCATCTGTTTTGGCTGCTGTCGACAGGAAATCATCAAACTCAGCCTGCAGCTGCTCATCTCGTTTACGACGAGATATCTTCTTTGATGAAGAGGGAGACACTGCCTCGACCGCTCCTCGCGAATGAGTTGAGCTTACAGACCTTTTTCTCTTGCTTTCCGCTGAAGTTACTGCGGCTTCGATAGTCAGGGATGCCTTTCGTGAGCTATGAGCTGGAGAGGCATCACCACTGCTGTTTTCTTTATCGTCTTCATAGACGCTAAGGCTTCCTTCCTTCCGGCCTCGGATGTTAGGACTGGGGCTAAGGAGGCCAGTCTGGGATTGAGGTGGCACTTCGTTAAGCGAGTTTCTAGAGCGAAGACTGGATCCCGACCTTACTCTCCTGTCTTCCCCAGGTTGCGAAAGCTCCCTGAGAGCACTGGGCTGGCTCTTGTTAACAGTGCCATCTGTAGCGCCCTTCACTGCTGAAGGCGCTTTGGTTGCTGCTTTCCCTGCTACTGGGGTGTTCATTGGAGGACTGGTACCTCCTGTTGCCTTACTTGGACTCATGGCTTTGATTAGCTGATTATACTGCTCATCGTCCATAGGAGCCATCTGGGATGGTTCTCTGTTACGCGAAAAATTCAGGCCAGCAGTATTAGAAATCACACGACTGCTCGAGGAGCTCGATGCGATATAGTTTGGCATCGATATATCATCCAGTGTTGAATGACGGCGCTTGATAGGCCAGGGTGGCCAGGGGTTCTTTGAAGGGTCGACGAAGGGATCTGAAACTTGAGGTGGTGGTGCAATCCATGGCCCATCTCGGTCTAACCACGGGTTGTTACTAAACTGTGGTGGAACGGGATTAGGTTGCATTCGATAGGGGAGGGTAGAGAAACCAGCCCCAATCTGAACACCTTGGTTGTTGAACTGCCGGATATCATGGCGCGTTGGGGAGTGTGAATGGGCATCCTCATCCTTTTCAACACTGTAAAGAGGTCCAAGAGAGTGTTTAACAAAATGTCGAGAGCCTGGTACCAGTTGCTGCCACATCCCTGGATTTGGCCAGGCAATGCCAGAAGACTCCAGTACACCTATGAGACCGTACTTACGTTAGACATCTGGCTCTTTTTTATTCCCATTTTCCACTATTTTTCTTTTATTTCTTAGCTTACCGAGGGGAGCGTGCTGGTAAGAAAAAGCGATGAGATCTCTCACTCTCTCAAAGGGCGGGTTACGAAGCGGCCGAGTGAAGCCTTCTGATATGACGACACGAATTCGACCGTACATGTCGCCAGCATCCCAGTGGGCTTGATGAAGCAACTCTTCATGGAACATTGGAAACCGCAGACTATCTTGGTTGCCATTTCTGTCGAGTTCTGCGAGAGTTAATACATACTAGACACAGCTCACCTGGGACACTCACGAGAACTCAGATCTACGTATACCCTCACATTAGACACTTTTCCGATAAGAACCCAGCGCTACTATCAAAAATCTGAACTTACCAATGACATGAGGCCAAAGGGTTTGCTGGTTGAACAGACTTGCCCTATTCCATCGACGGTTAGTATTAAAGTGAGGACATATAGGACTAGCGGAGGCGATGCAGCTGCCACGTACGAAGCACAGATACCATCGATGAATATTCTGACTTCGAACATCACCGAATCTTCCGGCTGCATCAGGCTTTCCATGACCCGAGTTGGACGAGGCCTATTCCAGCTATGAACAGATACCCTAAAGGGAGTATCCCGGGGCAAACTTGGTAGAAAACAGGTCAGTACAGGCAGCTGTCCCGGATTCCCCTGAACACCACTCTGGCTATAGTATGGACCGGGATTCAGCACGGCTTGGGCTTGGAGATACGGCGATTCTAGGACCAGTTCATCCTTGGTGATTAGCAGGCTGCTTGTGTGCGAGTCAATAGCAGATACTTTGACCTACCGTGATCCCTGGTGACGAAGCAATTGGTCTTGAACTCCTGTAGAGGCACCTTTGACCCCTCAGGGAACAGCAAGACGTCCCAGTTCTCGAATCTCATGTTGAACTAGCTGCGGATATTTATATATATATAAGGAAGAAGTAGAAGAGTGAAAAGCAAGACACAGTACTGGGTAGGTGGAGAGTCAGGATGGGGTGACAAACAACGACCAGTGTCATTCATGCATTTATTCATTAAACAGGCGAGCTTCCCGTAACGATAGAGGACGGCAGTGAAAAAGGAAGAAGATGTTGATGCTGAGGCCGGTGGTGAAGACGAGGAGAAGACGTCGTCTCTGCCATCGCTGAGGCCATGTTGTGTTTTCTGCCGGGCAGCGTAGAAGGTGCGGTGAGGCTTTTGTTGTCCTTCCCATTCGCAGGATATCAAAACCTCGAGGAAGGAATTATCCAATGTGGAAAGCAACTTTCAGTATCTTTGGAACTAAGATGTCTGGTTATTTTAGAGGCACTCGTTGCATACATAGATAACTAGGTCTAATCAAATTTGAAAAACAAACACGCTCGATTTCGACCTCTAGTCTGATTCATATATCAAGTGAGCTATCTACCAAATATGCGGTTTTGATTCCGTTTATAAAATATCTCTACAGTCATTCGAAAGCATCCTTGGTAACATTCTCAAAGGGTAACTATGCAATTAGCAAGATCATTATGGCGATTTTTTTTTTTGACACCCAATGGTGGTTATCAAAACGGTTCCGGGGACGATTAACAATAACACCTGGAATATCACTCACTCCAGCCGCGCAGATACAGACCTAGTATTTAGGCACAATATTCGGTATGATGACAAGATAATTGAATTCCAGCAAGCTGACTATATATACTTGATACCTGAGCACAACTCGTCAAGCGATGAATGACAGCATCGTTGTCTCAACAAGCGGCAAGTGGCCGCATAACCTAACATCTGCCCGCATGGCTTAGTTGGTAAAGCGCATCACTAGTAATGATGAGATCCCCGGTTCGAATCCGTGTGTGGGCATTTGCCTTTTCTTTTTTTTTATTTTCATATTTTGCGCCTTGATGAACTGAACTCGATTTTTGCTTCCCCCCTTTTTCGTCCCCTTTTTTTTTTTTTTTTTTTTCGTCGTCTTGTGCGCGCGTTTTCGCGAGCGGCTTAACTAATAATAATACCAACTTATCTCAAACAGGCAAGCAGTATGCCCCGCGTAACTCAGAAAAAAAAAAATACCGCTTAATAAACCAATAAGCAGAGCCTGAGCTTAAATAAAATACGCCATGCCCTGAGCCTAAACACGCCAAAAGCTCGCTTTTATCCCTACCAAGCAGCAACTTAAAACTAGAAACCCACAATCAGCCCGCATGGCTTAGTTGGTAAAGCGCATCACTAGTAGTTCACTCCTGGCGCAGGAGAGTCGCGATGATGAGATCCCCGGTTCGAATCCGTGTGTGGGCATGATTTTTTTGTCCTTTCTTTATGGGGTGTCTCTTTTGTGTTTTGTTGGACTAACTAACGAGTCAACTAACTTAGCAAGCGGCGGCGGTGGCGGCTGAGCGAGGGTGAGACAAGCGTTAGGTGTGTCGGTGAGGGATTTTGATGCTGACCAGTTAGGTGGCCGTTGACCAGTAGCTGGGGCTGAAAGTGAAGTATGAATTAATATGCGAGTAAGGAAGGCAGCCTGCATGGAATGTATGGCATGCATGTTCTAGAAGAGCTTAGGGCATGCATCCGTCCAGGCACGACTCTATATTGACGTCAGCCCACCGCCGATGTAGATACAATGAATGGTATATCAGCAGCACGGCGGTATGGAGTTAATGTAAATTAATAAAAGTGCTCGGGGGACAGTTATCTATCTGTCCTACCGTCTAAAAGCAGCCGCAGCTATCCTACTTACTGTATATCCCATCCGCGTCCAGCTGGCAATATTCTCCAAGAACACCGACTAAACAAGACGAGATAGAATGAAGCGAAACGGCAAAAGGAGAAGACGTACAAGTACAAAGGTACACGGCACACGACGGCACGACGCACGACTAGAACTACAGTACAGTACAAGGTACAATGCAGAAGAAGAGAAGAGAAGAGAAGAGAAGAGCGATATCAAGAAAGGACGAATGGAATGACTATGGCAAAGCAGAGCGAACAAAGAACGAAGATACAAGCAGGCAGGCAATTAGAATAACTAGACAGACAGACAAAGCAAAACACGCAGATTTCATCTTTCTCGTCTCGTATCTTTTGCTCGTGGGATCGTTTGCTGCGTGAGCATGGGGCATATATGGGCATGGGCAGGGCGTAGAATGGTTTTTG